CTTTAATTGGGTTTGTGGTAGCATGTTAAAGGTTGGCCTGATTTTTTACAACCCAGCAGTAGTCTCGGGTGGCCAGGCTGCTCTAAAAAGGCTTTTTGCCTTGCAGTCTCTTCCTACCGACCGTGCCTTCCAATTGATTCCCTTTTCCTTTTTAAGACGAAACCAAGTTAAAACTGTGGAATATCACCAACAAGAATGTTCTGCACCTTCCCACCATCTTCCATCATTTGCCACATTTGCTGTCAAAGGAGAACAGTCTGCAGCCAGCCGTGCATGTGGGACAGGGGCGCACTGGAGGTAAATGGGAATTAGTGCTGCTTCTGGTGCTCTTCCTCACCTTGGTGCCTGTCTCTCCCCTTTCCTCCGGGTCTGGCTGTGGTACAGAGATGAGCAGGACTGGAGGAACGGCTGCATGCGTCATGCAAGCTTCCTTGGTGTCATGGCACGTGGGGTGGGTAAGCCATGTCACGTCTGCAAGTCTTCAGGGGAGTGCTATCTGTGCTCTTGACTGGCACTAAAATGTTCTCGATGCTTCTGCCAGATGTTTTGTGCTGCTTTCCATCTCCAGAGTGCTCTAGACTTTGCCTGGAAGGTGATCAGATGAAAGCAAAGTTTGCAAGGCACTCATGGAGACTCTAACCCATCTTAGGAGACAAATCCCATCTGGAGTAGGACTTTGGATACCAATCACCTCCTGTTCCCAAATCCCAATCCAAAGCCAAAGACCTGACTTACCCCTCCTAAACTGAGGTGCTTCTGGCTGTGGGAGGGGTTTGGAGAACAAGGGTGGTCTTGAAGTTGCCATCCACAGACTGAAAAGGCCCTTAGGAGGGGGAGGGTTGTCGAATGTTTCCTTAGATGTCAGTCTTTGGGGAGAAAAACAAGAGTCTGTCTGACTGCCATGGGTGCCTTGCCAGTGTCATGCACTGGGGTGCTGCTGATCAGTGCTGGGCTGGGGGACAGGAGTAGGGGAACCCTACATGGCCCAGGCACCTACCAACCTGTTGATCACTACTGGTTTTTAATGATGGAGCGTGGCACCGAGCAGGTGAACCTCAAGGCAGTCGTGGGAGCAGAGCAAAGCTTCTTGTCCCAGCACACCCCCCTCTCTAAAACCTCTCCTTGGCCCTGGGCAGTGTCCGTTGTGATGGGAATTCCCAGCGTGAAGCGGGAGGTGCATTCCTACCTCACCGACACCCTCAACTCCCTCATCTCAGAGCTCACTCAGCAGGAGAAGGAGGACTCCGTCATCGTCGTCCTCATTGCCGAGGTAAGACAGAGCTTTGCCTGTTTGTCCCATTTCCCTGGCCCCCATCCTGCTGCCTGCCAAACCTGGTGCCAAACAGGACAGCTGCCCACCTGGAGACCAGCTCTGCTGTTTGCTGGGGTAGATAAGCCCAGCCTTGGGCTGCCATCCAACCAGGATCATTAGGTGTGTCCTGCCCAAAATGAAACACCGGTTGGGCCAGGGAGGGTCAGGATGAGAGCAGGCAAACATCAGCAGCTGCCAGTGCAGCATGTGCATTTATCTTTCTGGTCTAAATTGTGAGGGCTCTTGCAGGCTGCTTGAGTGAGTGTTCCCAACCTGTGCTGGAGCAGCCCCATGGCCATGTCTGGGGAAGGTCTCAGACCTTTGTTTCTCTGTGTACCTGTCAGACAGCACTAACCCCCTCTCCAAACCCAAGAGCCTGCTGATTTGGGGCTGAGACTAATATACCTCTTTGTACTGGTGTCTGGAGCCCAGAATCAGTAGCTGAATCCAGGGGCTAAAAAGCCTTGATACATTAATCCTCAAGAGCTGCTTTTATCTATGGGTTTAGATGGTTATTTTTCTCCATGGCTTTCCCCTCAGGATTATTTTCTTGAGTTCGAAGTGCATTTGTCTTAATTTCCAGAAAACCGGTGAGAAAAATAAACCTTAGTGGCACGTTACTGGGGGCGGAAAAAAGATAAATGTCTGAGTTTGCTGCCTTTTTACCTGTAATTTGGCATTTTGAGTAGCATTTGGCTTTTGGGTCTCTCGCTCGTATTTTGTATGAGGAGAAGGTGTGCACAGATGGGTGCAGCCCAAGGTGCCTGGGATGAGGTTTGGTCCTGGACATCATTTTCCTTTGAGCCAGGACAGGTTTGGTGGCTGTTTTCACAGCAAGTGAGTTAAAGCCTGAGAGGTTTTAAACAACTTGACCAAAACCATCTTCTGTTTAGGACTGCAGTCATATTTTTTCTTTAGTTAACATGAAAATAGGGTGAATGCTGTGATGGCAGCACCTGACTTTCCATGTGTAACTGTGATGAGGCAAGTGAACAACAAATAAATTAATCCTGATACCGTGAAATGCAGCCCAGTAACAGCAGTGGTAGTTGTTGCAGATCACCACCATCACTGTCCTCTTTTGCCAAGCTTGCTCTTGTAGCTCCTTCCATGCAAGTGTCAACCACCACTGTGCCTGCTCTGCCTCTTCCCAAGGTGTTTCTCAATGTACCTGCAACTTGGCTTTGATCATTAGGGCTCTCCAGGCACAGGATAAAGAGTAAATAGTGGAGAGGTGCAATGAACCTGGAGCAGATGCTGGGTGATTTGGAGACTCAGGATGATGAGTGGAGCAACCAAATGTCCTTTCTGGGATGGGGGCTTCTTGAGTGCCACCACTAACCACTGCAGGTGTCATTCATGGCAGCCAGGCTGCCTGGGAGAGCTGGTGGAGGGGAGCCCCGACGTGAGCTGGCCAGCTCAGCTGTCACCAACCTGCTGTTTTGGTGTCAGTCAGGCGCTTGGAGCAGAGCTGTGTGTTTGCTCCCAAAGCCAGCAGCATCTTTCCTGCCTTTGTTTTTCCTGTTGCTATTTTCTTGGCAGCACTGGGGTAAGAAATTGGTCTTGAACTGGGAGCCTGAACCCTGTTTGGGAAAGGGACCCTTTTCCTCTCAAGAAAACCCTCCCTTGTCACGGTTCCAGCGTGGAAGCGCTGGCCTCAGCTTGTGACACACATCCCCAGCATCTCGCTTCTCACCTCTGCCCGGCGCCGAGCGCAGCGACAGCCAGTCCCGGCTTCTGCAACGCTGCGTCTGCAGATCCGCCCGGGATGCGTGGTCCCGTGATCCGTACAACCTCCCAACGCTGCCAGTAGGAAACAGGCACAGTTTTTGCTCCCGAGTCTCCCGCCCTTTGTTCCTGGATTTTGTTTTCCTGGTTGCTGTGCAGATGGTTTCTGTCCAGTGCCTGTCCCTGTGTTTGCACTTATCTTGCCTGCAGATAGCGGCGTGCGGCGCTGCTGCCCTTTGTCTCCCAGCTCTTACAGGTTGCCAAGTCGATTGTGGGAATAAACTGTTGTTTTAGGAAGAAAAGCATCGAAATGAACCTGAAATGAAAAATGCACGCTTACAAATAGACCCCTCTTTTTCACAAAAGGGGTGGAGATCTTTTTCTGCCAAGAGTATTCACTTGGATGAAAGCCAGTGCGTGGAGAGGAAAAAAAATCAATAGCCCAGAAGTTAACACTTTGTGCAAACGCTTGGTACTGGCAGGGACAGAAGTGCCAGGAGAGCACATGGGGAAGATGTGCAGCATCTTGAGTCCTTTGGGGTCCTTTTGATGCCTTCAGTTAACACTGGCCACAAAGGAGGGCTCCTAGGAGATGATCAGCATGGGGAGAGTGGTTCAGCTGGGTAAAAGGAGACAGGAAGATGGTACAGAGGTGCTGACAGTACCCCCCTCCAGGTGTGTTGAAGGTGATTTCTGAGCCACAGGGGGCACAGGCTGAAGCTGAAGGATCTAACACTGCTTATCTTTTGTTTTCAGACGGATCCGCAGTACACAGCCGGAGTGGCAGAAAATATCAAAAACTTGTAAGCACTTCCAAATAACTACAGCAGTACGGTCTGTGCCTGCAGCGAGGCCAAGAGATGGCTTCATTAAGGAGAAAATACACGCTTTTCTGCTTCCCTTTTGTATTTCTTTTGTTGTTTGGGGTTTTTTTTTTTCTATTCTTAAACTCTGTCTTTGCTACAGCCGCTTCCACTTTCTGCTCGCTCTAAAACACATCCCGTATGTAACTCCATTAGGCTGCTTTGTGCTGGCAGTGTTTAACACAGGCGGTCATGCCGTTTCGTTTGGCTCTTTCTGTCCTGTGGCGTTGCAAAGAAGATGGTTTATTTAGATTTCCAGGGATCCTGGCAGTTGTTTCTGTGTCTAGTACAGCCCTCTACCTGCTCTGTGGAGTCAGAGCAGCTGGGCAGTGTGGTAGGCACACCCAAACGCTCCTGCTTTATTTTGCTTTAAAATCCATGATCCGTTTTTCTTCCTGCTCCAGCCTGTTTGTTTTTCCCTTGTTCTAGGTGCTAGTTACATTTGTCCCTCACACACTAGCTGCTATTTATGTTCCGGAGTCTTAGTGGCTTTTGCAGCTTCATCTGTGGCTCTTTAGGCAGGAGCTGGTGACAGATTATTAACCATGAGTTGGTCCAGGTGTTAACAGCATCAGAGTTCGGAGGCAAAAGAAAAAGGTGGTGAGAGAAGAGGCTGTGACTCCCATCCAGCTCCTGCGATTACATGTTTCCAAAGGATCACAGTCGCCATAAGAAGGAGACGCAAAAGGGCAGCACATCCTCCCAGCGCCCCGCGTCCCCGAGCCAATGATGGGAGAGGGGCTGGGATGCGTGCGGGGAGGGTTGTGTTCCTGGGCACTTGCAGAAGAGCTGAAACAGAGCCCTCCATCTTGCTGTGCAGGAGCTGGCAGAGCTCTCCTCCTTCTGCCTGCTGGCAGGAGGACGCACTTACCGGGGGATAATGGACTGATTGTCCGGTGGATCCTGATGAAATTACTGGGCGCTGCTGCAGAGAGTGCTTCTGCGTAGAAAGCCTGAAACTTTAATTGACTTAATGATTTGATTTTTCTCCCTGTCCCCCTCTCCACTGCCTCCTCCTTAATTCACTGAAATTATTTTTCTTCCAAATTGAATTGAGGTGGTGTGGGGCCAGGGCAGGCTGGAGGGAGAAGGCTGCTGCTGCTCCAGTACAGGTTTTGTCAGCTTAGTGAGAAGCTTCTGTTTCACTGCTGCCTGAGGATGGGAAGAGTCAAAAATGTTAGCTGGAAATCTTGTGGATTCCAGGGAGGGAATAAGGAAGGGAAAAATAAGTAGAGAAATTTTTGGCCTTCCCGCTGCTTTGTCTCCCTCTGCCCCATCTCTCGTCCTCCTGGCTCTGCACAAACAAAGGAAATCAACCTTGCACCAAATGTTCTCAAAAAGGGCAGTGTAAAAATAACTGATTTTCCTGCTTATCTCTTGCAGTTACAGTAATCTCTGGGTATTGCTTGCAAGGCTGTTGTAGGTACATATTTTTCAGATGGGTGACATTTTTTTTTCTGTTTGAGTTTGACTCTTTAAAGGGTTCTTAACAGCTTTATAGGGAAAATAGATGCTGATGTTCTCAGTGGAAGGGAACTCCTGCTGGCTGTCCTAACTACAGCACAGCACAGCACAGCACAGTGTTTGAAGTAACTTATCAGAAATGCATAACATAATCTTTGTAAAATGGCTTTTAATTACTGATGCATTTGGAAAATCTCTAAATGCTGGTAATGTCAGCAAGTCCTTTCTTTGCTGTCCCAGTCTACAGGTCCGTTTAATCCAGTAGAGAGTACATGGTGGTCACAGCTGGTCTTTTCTTTAAAGCTGACCCGTGTTTTTTCTAAGTGCAATAAATATCCAGCAGCACCTTTTGGGACAAGCTGTGGGATGTTTGGGCAGAAGTGACTCCAGCTGGTTTCTCAGTCTCATGGTCCTTTATTTCAGCTGCCCTAGATGTCCTCATAACCCATAAGGTGTCTGTGTGGCTGTCTTTAATGCACATGCTGGGACTCAGCCACCTCCCAAGGCAGTGCCACTCCTCTGCAAACCATAGTGAGCAGCCTTGTGATGGTCCCCTGCTTTCTCTACAAACCAGCTTGGTAGGACTGCAGAGAGCAGAGATTAGACACCAAGTAATTCAGGGGATTGGGAAGAACAGTTTAGCTTCTCCTGTGGTGGCAAGAGTAATTTTCTCCTGCTGATACTTGGGGCAGTCAGTGTGCAGCACTTATGGGTCACCTGCAAAGAAGTTCTGCGCTGACAGCCCAGCGTGCCATCAGCAGTCAGTGTGTGTGTGCGGGAGGGAGGAGGGATGCTGGGGGGAGCACACGAATACGGGGCTATTAGAGACCATGGGAGGGAGAGAGCAGCTTTAAAACTCTGCACCAGTCCCTGTGGGTGTCCTTTGGTGAGGCCTGGAATTCCACTAGCTGTCTGTTGGGGAGGTTTTATCTTAAAGGCTGTATTTTTTTGTTTGCTTCTGCAGCTCAGTGTTTACCCAGTGATTTGGTCTATGAAATGGTGTGTCAGACGTGGAGGTATTTGTTTACTGCTGCTTTTCTCCCTCAGATTCCCCAGGGAAATACACTCAGGTCTCCTGGAGGTAATTTCCCCATCTCCGCATTTCTATCCTGATTTCTCCCACCTACGAGAATCCTTTGGGGACCCCAAGGAAAGAGTCAGGTAAGAATCAATGAGCTTAAAAACAAGCAAGCCCTGAATTAAGTAACTGCAGCATCTCCCCTCCCAACTCCAGCAGGGAAAGCTCTTCTCCCTTAAACTTGCTTTATCCAGGAGCTGGAAGGATGGGTGGGGTAGGTATGAATTAGTGTTAGCTGTGAGTACTGTGGTGTTTCCATCACCAAGTGAGGGGATCATTTTAACCCAAATGATGTTCATTTTGAAGTCCTTGAGTTTTCTGGTAACTCTTAACTGACCAATACGAGTCCAAAAGGGAGAGTCCGTATGCCATCTGCTCCTCTGAGAGCTGTGTCACCTTCCTGGCTTAAACCTAACCTCTGTTGGCTCCCCCGAGCAGCCCAGCATCCCAGGAGAGACTGGCACTCCCATTGTGTTTGTCTCTTGCAGGTGGAGGACAAAGCAGAACCTTGACTACTGCTTTTTAATGATGTACGCCCAGTCCAAAGGCATATATTACGTGCAGGTGGGTCTGGTGCTGGGGGCAGAGGGGAGATGGATGTACCTGTGAGTTCACTGTGGCTTGTACCCAGCTGAGAGAGGGCAAAGAGCCTGTGCAGTTGTGTGATGCAGCAGAGTGGGAGTGGGTTTTAACCAGATCAGTTCAAAAACCAGGTTTCTAAGATGCTTTAGACCTGGAGACCTCCCACCTAGGGAGAGCAGGAATCCTTGTTTCATTTACCTGTTAGATTGAGTGACAAAAATCTGCTTGGAGCATCTTCCAAAATAAACTAGGTCCGTGCCAAAGCTTTCCTCTGGTCTATGGTGTGATTGCTCTGCAGAGAGAGGCTCTTACTGGAACCTGGATGGGCCATTGGCACTGAATGTCCTTTCCTCTTGCAGCTGGAGGATGATATTGTGGCCAAACCAAACTATCTCAGCACGATGAAGAACTTTGCCTTGCAGCAGCCCTCTGAGGAGTGGATGATCCTGGAGTTTTCTCAGCTGGGGTTTATTGGTAACGTTCTCCCTGCTCACCTCAGTGCTGGGAGGTGTGGGCACAAGTGCCTGCTAGTTCTTGTAAGCACTTACACTCTTGGTCCAACAAGTTGTCCCTACGAGATGGTAATATATTTGGACTTGATCTCTCCCTATTTTCGCAATGACCCTTGTGTTTGCACAGGGGAGAAAGATCCTCACAGCTGGTACTGCTGATACTCACTTTTAATAAAAATAAACCTGGTCGGTGGCCCAGCCGACAGCCGAACAGCTTAGAAGTAACCAGTAGCTTTTAGTCTGGATGGGATCTGGAGTTGCCTAAGAGTGTGCAAAAGGAAGTTTACATCAGCACAGAACTATTTTGGGAACAGCAGCACATGGTTGCAGTAGCAGCTTGATCTGTTATTTTGGATACTGGTTTGACTGGCTTAAAACTTCTAGTTTTCAGAGCAGGAAATGGTCTGTCCTGCAGCTGGCTGAATGTTTTTCATCCTTATTTCTCCCTACTGTATGGAAGAGTTTTAAACCTTTTCATACTGTTGTGACCAGCGAGACACTAATGCTTTCTAATTCTGCATTGAGTATTAAATCTGCAATGGTATTAGCAATGCCAGCGGTACTGGTACATAAACTGGGACTGCATGCTATTTCCTTTACATAGAGAGATGAACACATCCAGCCTCTACAGCCCAGTCTCCCAAGTTTTTTATTCCTGGCTCTGATTCTTGGGTGTTCCATAAAGTAGCTGCTCTCTCTCTTCTCCCTTTCTTTGTGCTGTAGGAAAAATGTTCAAGTCTCTGGATCTCAGCTTGATTGTGGAGTTCATCCTGATGTTCTATAAGGACAAACCCATTGACTGGCTGCTGGATCACATCCTTTGGGTGAAAGTCTGCAACCCCGAGAAAGATGCAGTACGTAAACAAACTCCGTTGAAGGGAAACCTGTTGTGTGTGGGCAAATGTCCAGTTGGCCTGTGTGTCCAGAGGATCTTTTCTGTGAGCTCTGGTGCTAACTGACTTTGCATCAGGCCGTGCCATCCCTGTGGAGTGTCCTGCGGGGTGTCCTTGCGGATTGTGTAAGCAAAGACCTGGGAGTTCAGGCTTTTGTAGTCTGCAACTGTCAGAAAAAGCCTTATTTCTGCATCAGAGCACTAACAGGGTATTCCTCCTCCAGTCCTCGAGGAGAATAGCTGTTCCCCATTCTTTTGTGTTGTTTTTCATTCTGGCATGCTTCTCTCCCTGAAGCTGTTCCCCACTCACTGACTATAACCCCAGAATAACCCTTTGGCTCTGGGCTCATGTGCCGTACCTGCCTGGAGTACACATGCAGGCTGCCCAGAGAGCTCACCCCACATGACCCAAGAACAAGCCCACCGTGTGTGCTGTGCCAAAATGAAGCCAGAGCATGCAAAGCTCTTGTTGAGGTTTCTAGGAGGGTGCAGAGAGGTGAAATGGGCTCTGTTTTCATGCTGCCATCTCATTTGTGGAGCCGTGCCTGCATGAAGCCTTGCAGACAGCAGCGCAGAAGCCCCCTTGCCCTGCAGAGGTTGTGTTTGAACTGAGATGAGCGGCAGCAGCGAGGGGCTAAAGCGAGTGGGAAGGGCAGAGGAGGAGTGTGTGTGACAGCACATGTAAGATGAGCTCAGCACCAGATACTCTCCCATCTCCTCTCTGAACATATTGTATTTACTCAAACACTCGTCCGCCCTCCTCCCCCAGCAGAGAATGAGCAGCGGAGTCCCTGTGCAAAGCTTGAAGCCAATCGCTTAGGATGGATCTCGTGGCCACAACTACTTTGTGGTGGCAAATGCCAGAGCAAGTGGTCACACTGGGGGTAAATACTCTATTTATGTATTGGGGGAGACAGAGCATTCTCAGGGCACTGCAGAATTGGGGCAAGGATGTGGTTTAATTTGGCCTCATCCCTGGCAGAGGCCATGACGTCAGCTCCAATCCCCCATGTACAGCAAGACCAGTCTCAGATGATGTCCATCGTGTCCTCCTGGCACTTCAGGAGGGCTCAGGTGTGGCAGAGCAGTCCCCAGGCCTGTCTCGCAGTCCGCAGGGTCCCCACACCCGTGGGTGAAGGTGGGGTGGTGACGTGCTGGGGTGGAGCTGGAAATGATGCTGCTGTCTGTGCAACCCCCCTTCAAAATCTTCAGCTGGAGCATTGATTAAATGCAGATCCCACTGCGTAGGATCACCTTCTCCTTAGCTCATCTTCGCTTATCTTCTCCTACCTGGCAGAGCCAAGGTTTTCCCAGGGGAAACTGCAAACCTCTTAAATGTGTTGCCTTTTTAAAAATTAACCTACTTTCCGTGTGGATTTCTGGCTCCTTTCCCCCACTGTTTGCATTATTAACTCTGCACAGCGCCCTTTCAAACATGACTTTCCCTTGTAAATCCCACTGTGCAGAATCAAATTGGTAGCAGGGGGGGATTTGTCTTTTTGATTGAAAGTTTGTTTGACCTGAGCTTTTGGTAAGTGCTTTGCCTGCTCTGGATATATTCTACTCTTTCTTTTTTAAGTAATTTTAGATTTACCCAGGGTAAAGCTATGTGAAAGGATGACCTTATTACCACCAACTGAGCCATCCCACCTCCTGGCTTCACTGAGATAACGTTGCTTTCAGCAAATGCTTCTTTAGCAGAAGGGGAAAAAGGGAGAAAGAGAAATCAGGAGATGCTGTACTTCCCTTTGTCCCCTTCCTCCTCCTCTCCCTATCCAGAGTGAGATCAGACCTGATGGGATTGCATCTGGGGTTGCTGGCAGTGAGTAGAGTCTCTCCCATTAGCATGGCTAGTTTTAATTTTCTAATGTAATGTGAGCTGGATTAGGGGATTATCTCCTCTGCAGCTCGCAGGGGTCATGCCTGGAATTTCCCTGCTCCTGGCACAGTGGTGGTGGCCCGTGTGGGCAGCCCATCGTGGGGGCTCGGTGTGACTGGCGTTCCCGCTGCGCCCTGCCCGGTGCCAGGCAGCCGGTGACGCAGCGCCCGGCAGCGGGATTTCTGCTGGCTTGTTCTTGGGTGGGAGGTTGTGAGAGCAGATGGTGGTAGGGGTGTGCGTGTGTTTCTTATCTTGGAAAAAAGCAAAAGTCAGAAAACAAATACCTTCTCCCTCCAGATTTTTGTCCTGATTCTCCAAACTGAGAGATATTAACTGTTTTTAAGATGAGTTCTTGTCTCCACACTCTCAGTGTTTTCCCCTTTGTTCTTTATTCCTTCTCCATCATCTCTCTCCCTCCACCCCATGGAAAATCACTGACTGGATCGGAGTTGCATCTCCCAAGTTTATTTACATGGTGGGATGGGTGTGAAACAGTCAGACAGCTCAGACAATGGCACGTGCCATACATCTGCCTAACAACACCTGCCAACAAACTGAAGATTCTGCCCATCTGAAAAGAGCCCACACTTGCTGTCTCTTCCCTTAGGCTCTGAATCATCCCTGGACTTACTGTACCTTCAGGCACCAGCGCTCCCAAGCTCTGAATTGTAGGAAAAGGTCTTTCCTGATGAGCCAAGGAAAAAAGAAACAAAAGTTTCTGGCTGTCAGTATTTCCTAAGTTATGCTTGGCAAGGAGACATCTGACACGTAAACCTGGGCACTCTGTCTGCCCAGCAAAGCCCAGTGGGTGACTGGCCGAGAGTCATGGTCAAGTTCCTCTAGAGTGTGGTTAAAAGCCGTCTTGCCAAATTAAAGGCAAAATAACACAGAACAGCACAGAGAGGGAGGGACAGGGATGTTTATCACTCCTCCTGCCCTTGTCCGTTCCTTTCGCAGAGCACAGCTGACCGCAGTGGTTTAAGTGGGGTACTGTGGGGTTGTCTTGTTTCAGAAACACTGCGACAGGCAGAAGGCAAACCTGAGGATCCGCTTCAAGCCCTCGCTCTTCCAGCATGTGGGAACCCACTCCTCCTTGGCTGGGAAGATACAGAAGCTGAAGGTGGGTACCAGCTGCCTGTCTAAGCTGCAGACAGCCTTTCTGCCAGGCCTGGCCTGCAGGCACGCTGGCTGCTTTAGAGTGAGGACATCAGTGACAGCAACTGGTGGGATGGTGGCAGCTGATTTCCCGTGCAGTGTTGTGTTTTATTCTGCATTACAGTGAGCTCACATAGCCCCTGCTTCTCAGCACAGCAGTGACATGTACTAAGAGCCGCTGCAAGCTTTGAAGCCTTGGTACTGGTTCTGGACACCCATCCTGAGCACCAAATGATGATCAGAGCAAATGATTTCAAAGCATCTACTAAAAACCCTGGAGATATGACTCCTGGGTTGGTCTGGCGTCCTTCCCACACCCCTCCTTATTCCTGGGATTTGCTGATAGGCAAACTAGAGCTTGCTGTGCAAGAGTTTAGATTGTTTGTGTGCATTTAAACATCAACAAAATCAAGCTTCCCACAGCTATATGTGCAGGACCCAGAGACACACATCCCTGGACTGTGCTCAGTCCTGTGTCTGTCCAGTCCCCAGGTAACGGATGGTGTAACCCCATTTGTGTCGCAGTGCAGTGCCAGTCAGAGCATCTAATCCAGTTGTTTTATTGTCAGCCTCCCAACCACCTTCTCCTCAGGTGTAAGGACCGTTTGCAGAGCTCCTGGGGCAGGGACACGCATTCAGGGACACTTGGACAATCATAGAATCATAGAATGGTTTGGGTTGGAAGGGACCTTAAAGCTCATCCAGGTCCAACCCCCCTGCCAGCAGCAGGGACACCCTCCACTAGACCAGGTTGCTCAAAGCCTCATCCAGCCTGGCCTTCAACACTTCCAGGGAGGAGCAGCCACAGCTTCTCTGGGCAACCTGTTCCAGTGTCTGACCACCCTCACAGTGAAGAATTTCTTCCTAAAATCTAATCTAAACCTCCCCTCTTCTAGTTTAAAGCCATTTCCCCTTGTCCTGTCACTACTTGCCCTTATAAAAAGTCCCTCCCCAGCTTTCTTGTAGCCCCTTCAGATATTGCAAGGCTGCTATAAGATCACCCCTAAGCCTTCTCTTTTCCGGGCTGAACAGCCCCAACTCTCCCAACCTGTCCTCACAGGAGAGGGACTCCAGCCAATGAAAGGCTCTTTGGTGCCAGATCAGAGGGCAGAGCAATGGTGCTTCTCTGTGCTGCCTCTCCTGAAGTTGTGTCCTCCTGGGATCCAGTCATGCATTGCTCTGTCTGGTGCCTTCCCCAGATCACTTCCATCCCTCATCCTTCTGTATTGTGCAAATTGAGAGCTTTTAATTTGTGGTGCCTTGTTGCTGGGACTCCTGTTCCTCACAGGCAAGAGAAGCTCATGACCCTTTTCTGCCTTTTTGCTTTGTGGCCACCAAGGACAAAGACTTTGGCAAGCAGGCTCTGCGGAAAGAGCATGTCAACCCTCCTGCGGAGGTGAGCACCAGCCTGAAAACCTACCAGCACTTCACCTTGGAGAAGGCTTACCTGCGGGAGGACTTCTTCTGGGCCTTCACTCCCACTGCTGGAGACTTCATCAGATTCAGATTCTTCAAACCGCTCCGCATCGAAAGGCCAGTGCCTGGGGAGGGTTGGTGAAGGAAGACATGGGGACAGCCTGGAGCATGTGGAGATACTTTCCTTTTGCTCTTCTGGCTTGTGTTGACTTTCTTGCCCATCTCCTGCTTGGCTGCCCTGGAGGAGAGAGCAGTGCTCTTCCAGAGGAAGGATAACTTGACCCTTTTTTGGTTTGCCAGAGCCCTTTGCTTTCCTGCACTTGTGAGCAATCCACACTTCAGCTAATCTGGTGCAGAAGGTCTTCCAAACCATGTGCCCGTGGGCTTTTTGGGAAGGTGCCTGTTAGGTTGAGCTGTTTGATGGTTCAGCTGGGGTGAAAGTCATCATGTTCTCCCTCACTCAGTGTGGGTTTCCATGGCTTTGGTCTCTGTCACAGGTTCTTCTTCCGCAGCGGGAATATCGAGCACCCAGAAGACAAACTCTTCAATACAACTGTGGAGGTTTTGCCATTTGATGTAAGTGTTTTATTGAGAATTGAGATGGGGGTGGAGTGGGGAGCAAAAGAGGTTTGAGAGAAGGGAACTGCTTAAAGGCATCAGGAAAATCTTTACAAGACTCAAGCGGCTTTGAGAGGTGCTGGCTGGGAAGCAGGGGGTCACGCCTGGTGTGGTAGCACCTCAGGAGTGGGGATGCTGCACCGAGCAGTCGCTACAGGAGCCATCCATGGCTGCAGGGGGGATGCTGGGATGGATGGGATGTCTGCAGAGTAGGGGATGGAGCCAGGATGGTGCAGTTGAAGCAGCAGCATGGGGGCAACAAACGTCCTCTTGTTTTGGGGCATGAGGCTCAGGTTGTCAGGCCAGGGGATGAGATGCCAAGGGCTACTTGTGAGGGCAGCTCCAGGGTTGCTTGTTGCTTGAGGCTTTTGGGTGGCTCATACCTCTGGCCTTGTGCAGAGCTCCTCTCCTTCCCGCAGAGCCTGCAGTCAGATAAGGAAGCCTTGCAGGAGGGAAGAGGCACAGCCGTCCAGTACCGCAGGACACCAGATGGCTACATCCAGATAGGTACAGCAGGGTGGGGGGTGGTAATCTGCCTGCTGGCTGTGGTAACACAGCCCATATCCTTACCTTCAAGTGAAGCAAGCAAGAGCCTCAGTGCTGTTTGCGTGGCAGAGTAATTTCTACTTGCCAGGAACCAGGCTGGAACAGGATTTAATTGTCACTGTCTCCTCTCCTCCACTGCCCTCCCTTCCCTCTTAAACTCGTTGTCCTCTTCAGGTAGTTTTCAGTTCTACATTTCTGCCTGTCTCTGCTCAGAGCTGGGATTAAATTTTTCAGATTATCCATTTGCTTAACCTAGTCTTAAAAACCTCCACCACGGGCAATTTCATGCTCTCCATCCACAGCCCGTCTCGGTACTCACACCTTGGACTTTGTCTCCTGCCACCTGAGCTTGTTTTAGTGCTTGTCCTGTCCTTGGACAAAAAATGAGTGATTGCAGCTTATGGGGACCTGCTGGTGTGTGATAAAGCCCCGGTGTCCCTGCTAAGACTTTAAAAAAAAAAAAAATAGACAAATAAGAGAAAAAAAATCCCTGGCATGTGTAGCTTTTAGCCAGTTTAGCATTCCTTTGCATGCTGTCTGGTTTCTCCCAATTGCTATTTCCAAAAAACAAAAATCACACCCAAAAAAATGGGACATAGCAAGAAGCTGAGACTTTGCTAGCACTGTGGATGTGAGATGCCTCCATGGCGTGGATCCTGAACCGACATCTGTCTCTTACAGGACAGTGCTGCCACCAGGCCACTCTGTCCCCCCACTTTCACACAGCGGTGATGTGTAGCCAAATCCTCCCCATTTTTATTGTTTAGCTGATTTTTTGTTCCCCTAAGTGTAGCATTTTGCACTGTATTGATGTCCATGCTGCTGGCTTTCAGCCCATCTCGTGTTGGGGAGCGGCGGGCGGGGGTGGCTGCTATGGCTGCTCATGGTCCTTCAGGGCAGGGGCTGGCTGCCAGGCGACCATCCCCACGTCACCCTCATGCTGTCCCCACCAGGCTCCTTCTCCAAGGGCGTCGCAGAGGGTGAGGTGGACCCGTTCTTTGGGCCGTTGGAGGCCATCAGGTTGTCCATCCAGACCGACTCCCCAGTGTGGATCATCTTGAGCGAGGTAAGCTGGGCTTCGTCAGCCGAGGGACCAGCCCTCAGCCTGGGGATTCTCTCTGATCCCAGCCCTCTCTTTTTTCAGATTTTTATCAAAAAAGCGGAGTGAAACGGGCACGAGGAAGGGTGAACACCCACACACAGAGACACAGGCGTGGATCCCCGGTCCTGCTCCCTCCTCCCCGCGGCGCCTCGCCCGGGTGCCAGGACAGCGCAGGCCCGGCTGCCGGGACGCGGCACACGCCGACAGGCCTCGGCAAACTGGCACCGCCATCCCCAGCCGGTGCTGCCGGGACAGGACGTCGTCTTCTCCAGCAGAAGAACAAAAAGCAAAACCCAACACCCCGTGCAGAGGGCTGGCCTTGCTCCCCTCGGCCCCTCACGGGCGCGTGGCTGCCGCACCGACACGGGGGACAGTTTGGGGTCGGGATGAGCTTTAGCAAGCGTGGGGACAAAAAAAGCACCTTCAGCCCGGGACAGAGCAATCTCTGGCTGTATTTGGGGACAGAGCGGGGGCTTGGGCACATGGAGTCCTGCTGGCTGACCCCACAAGTGCGCCGGGATGGAGACGGCCAAGGACCGAGGTCTGCCTTGCTTTCGCCCAGGCAATGGTCCTGGCCACAGCTGAGGATTAATTGAGGGTGAAGAGTGTCCCTCCTTCAGCAGAGGAGGAACAAATCCGAAGGGGTTGGAGCTATGAGTATGGCAGGGAAAACAAACAAACAAAAAAATACGCCACACTGTGCCTGCCAGCATTGAACACAGCCCCTTAACTCACAGTGAACTCTCCAGTGTCTTCAAGCCTTGAGATTTGAGTGCAGAAACCATCTTTTTAAATAACTATTTCAGCTATTGATTGGTGTGAATTTTTTGGGGAGAGAAAAACAAAACAAACAAACAAACAAAAAAAGGCAGAAGTAACCCAGTTCAAAAATAGTAGGGATTAGTGTAAATCCCAATGTCTCTTCAGCTATACACTGGAATGCATTATACTACTTTAATGTGCTGTATTTTTTATTATTGGATACATTTGATTTTTCAAGTACATCTCTATATATAAATATATAAAATAATGTGCACTGTAATAAAAGCTGAATTTAAACCTTTGGTGCAGCAGCGAGAGTCACTTGCAGCAGGGAGGTCCATGCTCTGGCTCTGCCTGCCTGTTGTCCCCCCCCACGATGATGGGTGTCCCTGAGGACTGGGGACCAGCTGTAGCCCCTACACCTGAAACGGAGTCATTCCTCAGCTCTCACCAGCACCCAGTATTCCCAAAGCATTGCTCATGCTGGGGAAAGCACTTAGAGCAGCCCAGTAAGAGACTGGTATTTTTGTCCAAGCACCACAGGAACCTTCATCAGTTATTTAAAACCAGAAAGGTTGGTCAGCTCAGGAAGCAAGGAAAGTGCTTGGGCACCCATACACCCAAGGTTGCACTTGTGGAACAGTTGTCTTGTGAAATACATTGGGTTTTCATTCCCACATACAACTTAGCAAGGAGCTGCCTGGGTGATGCGTGCTTTAGTTACCTGCAAACCCCATGTGTGCAGTGGAGATTGACATACAGAGAGGGCAAAGTCCTACTGCTGGGTTGGTGATAAGTGAAGTCAAGATCATTCAAGTTCATGCCAAACACAGACATTGGGATTTGGACTGTAATTAGGCTTTTTTTCCCCCAAAGTTTGGATAAAGTTTTCAAGTTAGCAGCTTTTCCCATCCACTCCATTCCCCTACCCTTCAGTGTTCTTACACCCGGTCCCCAAGCACCATTGACAATCACAGGTGATTTCTACAGAGAAAGAGGAGTTTATTTTTTTGTATATCGTTGCTGTGATCCTTCAACATAGATCATTAAAGCAGTGAGGAGGAGTGACGACAGCATACAGATCAACCTGTGCTCCATGACTCAGAGCCAAAGGTGTTAGAGGTTTTTAGAGCAGACAGTGCTACAAACTCGGCTGTGAAGCCCAGGGGCAGGGGCAGAGACTGGGCAGCATTTGCTTTCTAAAAAAGCCATTATCTCTGAAGAGTGAAGCTTTGCAAGCAGAGGAGTGCCAGCATCCACCTCCCTTCACAGGTAAGCGCAGAGCTGGGGAGATGCTCGGTCTCCATGCCACACAAGTACCTCCTCTCGGCCCAGGACACGCAGTGGTTTTGGGAGAGCAGCAGCCCCACTCACCAGGCACCGAGTAGCTGGAGGGGCTGTGCCAGAGCTGCCGTCCATGTGGAGGAGCGGGGCAGCAGGAAATGTGCGCCCCCCGCCAGCCCCAGCAGCAGCCAGAGCAGCCAGGTGCTGGCATACAGCGGCCTCAATCTGTGCAGGGACAAAACATCATCAGGCACCAGGAACCAACCCGGGGCATGGAGCATGCTGGCCAGGGCTTGGCATCCCCCTTCCTCCTCCAAGACTGTGCTGGGGAAGAGCTGGTGGGGTGATGAGCGTGTGGGGGCAGGAGGGGAGGAGAAGGGGGTGATGCAAACCTGCCTTCAGACCCTCCCGCAGGAAGAAAACCCACCCCAGGGGCTGCATCCTGCCCTCAGCCTCCCTGGGTTGGGTTTTGGGGTGCCCGCAGCCCCAGCCGGGTACTAACCGTCCCTGCGCATCCACGGCGTATCCCTGGAAATACTTGAAGCGGGTGTAGAGGTACAGCAGCCCACATGCCGCAGCCACACCTAGGAAGGAGAGGGGAGCCAAGTCCTGAGGAAGCCGGGGGTCCCTGGATGCTGCTGGAGCTGCAGCCCAGCTCAGTCACCCGTGGCCCCGCTTTCCCCTGCAGATGGTGACACGGCCACAAGAACCAAATACAGAGGGATTCGGCTTTAAAATGCTATGGGAGCTAAAATGGGGTTTCTTCCTTCCCTTTTTGTGAAGATGAACTTCTCTACCCTCCTGCAGTTGCCCTGGGACTTGGGTTTGTAACGCTCCCTGCCATGGTCCTTCCTTGCATCTTCCCCACGGCGGCAGCCAAATCCCCTAAACCTGCTTGGTAGGGGATGGGCGGGGGATGACTAATCATTTGGGTTATGGTTTCTTCTTCTGATGTAGTGATTTGGGTATCGTGTTGCAGCTCAGCTTCAGCTTGCATCTTCTCTGGCACAGCAGGAAGCAGCAGCCTCTGAAACACAGAGCCACGCTGCTCCTGGCCCTGCCACCACCCTGGCACCACACACCAGCCTGGCCTTCTCTAAGAGAAGCAGCACAGGGGGATGGCTGGGCTCTGGGGACTTGCCTGCCAATGCCACCAAACCTCTCCTCTGGACAGGAGATTGGCTTGATTGCTACCAGCAACTTCATGCACGCTGGAGCTGGGGAGCTTCTCCATCCATCTGGCCACAGGGGAACTTTGCTTTCCCCGAGTAACAGCCACACGGGTACAGAGAGGATGTGCCTGAGTTGCAACGGGATTTAAATTGGGTGGGTTGGGTTTTTTTTGCTTTGTGCATGTGGTTTGGGTTGGGGTTCCCCACCATTCCCCTTACCTTGATGGAAGAAGATTCCAGCAACCCAGAGGAGCGAGATGAAGATCGGGAAGTACTCTGAGCAATTCACCCTGGTGAGATCCAGAGATGAGTGTTAAAACTGTCCTTGTATGTCAGAGACAGAGGCCAGAGAGGTGAGCTGGAAAGACGCATCAAAGCAAACTGAAGCAGCTGGTAAGAGGCGTTGCTGTGCTGTGCTGGGGAGAAAGAGCCTTTTCTGCCACCAAGGACACCCAGTATCTGTATTTTAGAGGAGAAAAGCACCCAAAAAACACACAGTGTCCCCCTCACCCACATTCACATGGACCCTGCAATGACGAGCCACGGCTGAGATGGAGATTTGTCTTTGCTGGACCCTCGGCAGGCTCATTCCTCAGCCCCACACCCAGTGCCTTCGGAGACAGCTAGTGCCAGCTACAGTGTGAAAGCTGCACGGGGAGAGGGTCCTTGACATTTAAACAGTTTTCTGTTTGCCTTGGGTGAGCAAAGCCCAAAATTTGAGTGTCACACAAGTCATGCTCCAAAAAGAAGCCTTTTTCTAGATCCAATTCAGTAGAGGTGTTAAGATCTGCAGCCAGATTTTCTTCCTTTTAGTGACAAAAATACAGATTTTCTGCAAGAAAGGATGGTGGCAGCTGTGCTATTGGTGACAGTGGGTTTTGTTTCTCAATTTATCCTACATTTTACCATTCCCTAAGCAATTTAATCTTAAATTTGGCCAAAAATTTACCAAGCCTCAGGGAACAGAGCCAGATTGGGAGCTGGAAAAAGTCTGAAAACCTTACATTGTAAATGCAGTTTGAGCCTCAACAACGGGAGGCTGCCAGGTTTCCACAAGTGAGCAATAAATCAATACCTTTTTTTCCTCCTCTTTTTTTTTTTTTTTTTTAATATCAAACTAAATTATCCATTTGTATCTTTTTCCACAGGGAAAAGAATAAAGGGAGGAAAAAGCTCGCAGTGAAGAAAATACCTTCTCAAACCCAAGTTCCCCGAGGTCACCTCCTCTGCAGAATATAGCAGAGGGCTTCCCGGCACGCGGCAGCCCCCGGCACGACTCAGTTAACACACAGCCCAGGATTTAATTAAAAGCCTCATCACCAGCTACCCAGTGAGCAAAGGCTGATGCCTCCCATGCAGGCTGGCCTTTCACTGCATCATGAAAGGACCAAAGTGGGTGTTTTTGTCACTCCACAAATGTTTCCTGCACACTGGCAAGGAAACGCAGCTGCTTTGTTCAGGATTTAGTGCCGTGTTCGAACTACCCTTCAAACCAGCGCTGGCCAATTCCTTTCAATCACTTACAAAACAGCAACCACTGAGATGAAAGACGGAATCTGGTGCTTGCTGGAACCCAAAGGGATCTGTGAATGTTTCCACTTTAGCTCCAGCCTTGCTCTCTCCATAGGAACAGAGCAAAAAGAAACAGTCCTCAGCATGGGCCCACCAGTGCCGAATTTCACAGTACAATGGCTTGAAAAAAGGAAAAATAAGAATATCCTTGTAGCTGGTTCTGCCAGCAAGACCTTTTGCTTCAATTCAACAGCAAAAACTTACAAGCAAGCAAATATTAGGTTATAATACAGCTTCAGCTACTCTCACAATTTGGAGCCAACATTAATATTAAACTTAATGACTAGAATGCATTAATGCTCAGCACTTCTTCCATACAGCTGCTAATTTGTAATTTGGCTGCCTCTCACGATGTCAAAAGGAGGAGTTATCATGGATGGACAGAAACACAGCCAGAGCAAAGTGCTCCAAATCAAAACTCAGACCTCTGCGTGCAAAGCTTAAAAAAAAATAATAATCTAATATCAGCAGCAGCAAGTGAAAAGGTGACTTGAGAGTGACTTCAGTCTTTCCTGGTAGTGATGCTTGACTCAAGTCATATCTAGATGGAGTCACCACGAACAAGTCAAAATCTTACTGAGCTCTGAAGATCCGCTCAAATTCGGGGTGACCTCTTGTCTCAGGAGGGGAGATCTTGTGCTTCCTTCGGGCATAGATCACCTGCAGCACAAAATAGGCTAAAAAAAAAACAAACAGAAAACAAAACCAAACAACACCAGAGGAACAGTAACAGTCCAGCAGCCGTTTATTTAGCCAAACTTTATCTAGCTTGGAATCAAGCAAGTGGTTAGAGGAAAAGAGCTGATACTGTCCAGGTTCATAGTCCAGGGCTGTCACACATGACCTGGAGTAAATGTGCCATTTGTTTCAGGCTCATACTCTGAACTCAGATTTGGTTATCCTAGCAGAGCACGCCTGCCGCAGAGCCAACGTGCTGGCTGACGCTTTGCATAGTCTCACACGCAGCAGCAGAGCCCTTGGTGCTGCTCCCCAGCACATCAAACACACGCTGGTCCTGCAGGAAGGCCAGAAACACACCCTAAAACCTTACTGAGTCCACACCCCATCACAGAATCATTATTTTTCTAATTTTATGGTTTGTATTTCGAGTACTGGGACACCCTCAGCCAGCCTGATGGGAACGATGTGTAACACCTCCCACTATACCCAGCGGGTGCAAAGCTTTCGTACAGGGATGTCCCCACATCACAGAGCAGCATCCGAACTGTGAAGCACTGGGACAACAATAAGTCAGCTAGAGATGCTCATAATCATGACAACAGAAGGAAATGGGGAAGGGGGGATTATTTCTTTCATTACTTCATTCCTGCAGGGTAGCCCCAAGGCTCAAGCAGTTCAAGGAGCAGAGGTCCTGCCAGTGCTGCTATCAGCCCGTGCCAAGTTTGGGCCGAGGTACTAACCTGGTGACATTGTTCCTTTGTACATTTGTAAGGGACGTGGAAAGTCACTTCAAAACTATGAAAACTTGTTAACATGAAGATTTGGACTGTTTCACTGTTTGATGAAAGTTCTCACTCCCATGGGTAATTGTTAAGGTTTCAAGTGTTTATATTTAGGTGCAACTACTACATCGTTGCCTTTATTGAAAACGAGAATTTTCATCTAGAAGAAAACTAAATTATAAAAACAATTACTTTGGTGGCTGTGGCAGCACGTTGCTAAGTGAGTCACTTGGTTTAGCAAGGTCCTAACATGGCAACATTTCCAGAGCATTAAACAGAGAGGTAAGGAGCCAGCTGCAAGGACTGCCTTGTGGACTGTCTCATCCTAACAAAGAAGATAAAAGCAGAAGAACAGCAGGAGAGAGAAGGGAAAGTAGGGACAGATGCTGCAAGATTAAAGACAAGGCAGATCCACGTGTGCCTGCGGAAAAGCATTAGAACATATGTAGAAGAAAAGGGAATTAGAAATGTAAATAATCTGATGCTGTGTGACCTGTGTGTTACACAACACACTATCCAATTAAATAGACATTCATTTAACAAAACATCTGCGTGTCTAGTGGCTTCCACAGTGTGTGCAGTGACCCAGCCCTCAACAAGAGGTGCTGGGAGAGAAAGGTGGGGAGGAACAAGTTTGCTTTTTCCCTCCCTCTCCATCCATTTGTAGCATGTTGATTATGGTTATGGGTGAGGATATCATCCTGCCCCTGAGATCTGGCAGGATCACAGCATCCCCTCTGTGAAACCAGCCTGCTAGGTCTGCAGGAACACACAACTGGCAGAGCTCTGGAAAAAAGATGATGAAAGTGTGACCCATCCTGTCACCTCCTCTTCACATCCGACAAGCACATCTCTCCTACACAACTCAAACGCTCTCAGGGTCTCATCCCAGCCACCTCTTGAGAAATGCACTGAACTAAAGTAACTGCAACATGCACAGCTCTGGCCTGTGGCATAAGCCTGACTGTGCTGGGCAACAGTCTTCATCCTGCTTCATGCCACCTGCACCCTTGCTCGTGCAGTGTTCTTGTGTGCTATGAGCACGGCAACAACAATTTCAGACCCAACCTCTCCATCAACTCTATGCCTAACATCTTGCTTGTATACAGGGGCAAATATTCAGACAAGTCCTGCAACAGATCCCTTATGCTTAGGGATGGGTCATATATAAAACCACCACCCAAGAGAAGCAAGAGCCTTTTGGAGGATGGCTGGCCGTCCTCCAAACCTGGTGAATGAGTGAAGCATTAGGGATGAAGAATCAGCCCCCAAAAGCACTTTCCTCAGCATGAGGTGTTGAAAAAAACCACATTGCACAAGCCTTCTCAGCATGGACTTCCAGGGAAAAAGAGTTCAATCTACTCTGCAGAACCTTTCAAACTAGTTTTTTTGTGATTCATGTCTCCAGGTTCAACTCCTGTGTGGATTCCTATGCAGCTCACAGGGGCTGAGCTCTCCCTGCACTTTGCTCCTCAGTGGAGGTATCAGCCAGACCGTCGTTCTCTATTTGATTATGTCCACAAACTTGTCAAACCACGTTATAGCTGATATGTGCCACATTTGAGTGAACACGGCAAACAAGCTCTGTGGGGACTGATGGACAGTGACATTGCATAACCTTTATTTCCTTTGAACTCATAAAAATAAAGGGGGGTTGGAGAGAAGCTCTGTGGGAGCATTGTTCTGCTCTCTGGTACCGTGTTCCATGCAGGGCAGGGGCACCTATCTACAGAGCACTAACCTCAGAGCTTTGCTAAATTGAGCATAACTGAACTAGAAAGTGGAAAGTTACTTGAAAGAATGCAGAAACTGTGGAATCCCAGAAAATTAGTAATAATAATAATAATAAAAATCAACCAACACTGTACTAAGCTCAGCCATTAAGTCTCCTACACCAGGATGTGACGGGAGGGTGTTTGTACGTGTAAGAGTGTATCTGTGTTTCATTGCTCTGCCTCCTCAGAATGAATCTCAGTTCTGTAACTCACCTACAGAATGTCCTTTCAAAATACACAAGAAAAGCTACTGCACAGCTCTGAATCAAGGTGACATTAGCACACACACTTGGTACGAGTAGAGAGAAAGGAAACACGTAGTATTCTATAATTGCTCCTTGGCTTCCCATGCAGAGACCATAAAACGAGGCTACTTTATCCGATCTAACAGAGATAAGAGGGTGCCAGTGCTTGCTCTCTGTCTCTGGCTTCACACCTATGTATGGTTTGCATAGAATGAAAGTAAAACGCTTAAGGCTGCAACCTTTAAAAATAAAATATATATATGACGTTCTCATGGAACAAATACATTTTAGACAAAACTGCTCTCTAAGGATTTGCTACTGAGAGTTTCCCAGTGGAAAGGGTTTAGTAACATTTCTGTAACTCAATTGCAAGTTTTCTTTGTGTCTTCTTTTTGCACAGTAAATGCTCCCTCCATCCCCACTTGGTTTAATAACAACAACAAAAAAAGCGTAAGACAAGAGTATCTTCCATTTGTAGACGCAGATATTTCTCTGTAAATTGAGGGAAAATTACTGATAATTCTGAAATCTTGAACTCTGTTGTTTAAGTGATGTATTTGTGTTTTAAATCACACTTGTATCAAGAGATTTATCATCTGATGGCTAAAAATCCATCAGGCTGTTCAGAGATTCACATCCATCTGTAAGCACAGGTGCAATAGCTCTATGGTGAATTCATTCAGTAATAAAAAAACCCACCCCAAACAAACCTTCCCTTACAGAAATGTGAAGATTTTAATAAAATGGAGGCTCCATCCCCACCCCAGGCTGGGGGAGCGTCCCCTTCCCTGACCCTCCTGCAGCACAAGGGGGAGAGGCCTTTGCCCAAAGGGCCCCCAATTAAACACAAGAGACAGACAGAGCCTGGCACCGCTACAGCTTCTTTCTAAATGGTCTAAACCAAACACATCTATTTAAATTACAAGAAGTCACTGAGTTTCTTTGAAGATGTCTGTGTCTATTTCTGACCAGAAGGGCTTGCATTAGTTTCCAAATTACTGTGTGCTGTCAACTCATCTGCTCCTGGCAGCTAAGCTATATGAACTGAACACATAAAGATACTGGTCACAGAGGAGAAATAAATGTGTGCATGATGCTCCTCTCCATATATACACAATAAATGTGTGCATGATGCTCCTCTCCATATATACACAATAAATGTGTGCATGATGCTCCTCTCCATATATACACCATAAATGTTTGCAGACTAACCTCTTCATCAGCATGTTTATTAACCTGCCTTTATTTTGGCTATCTCCAGCCACTAGTAGTTACAAACTACTAGTTTTAGTAGTTACAAACTACTGCTAAAATTCAATCACAGAAAATGTTTTAAAGACGTCTGATTGTTGAAATTGTTTTAAGTTGGAAAGTAAAACTTAAATTTCTTTTCCCTCTAGGATGTTGGGTTTGAGGTTTGCAAATCATTTTAGTCCCTATTAAATAATGAACCTCCTCAGGCATGACACTTCCACTGTGAACAGCCAAACATCATTTTATCGTTTTGGAAAACAGCAACTTTCATTCCACGGAGACTCCAAGCAACCTACAGGAACCAAGTTCCCCAAAGTTCAATATAATTAGCTCAACACCACCCTAGCATTACACAGAGGACATTTACCTTGCTCCAGGACTCCCAAAACTGTGACAGCAGCCAACAGGTCTATCTGATTTCTCATCTTGCTGACTGCAGACCAAAACCTCAGCCAGGTGCGATGACAGCAGCTCACCAATCCTCTCTCCCACTGCTGCTCTACAACAGAGCCTTCTTATTGCTCTGCAGCAACGCGTGCTTCCTCCACCACACGTTAACTCTCCACACACCACACCATTTTCCAAAGCAGAAAATATCTGTTACGAGACAAGAGCCTTTTGTTGAACTACCAAACAGCAAGGTTTGCATGTACAAACTGAGAAATTCTTGCAATCATATTGACAGATTCTGTAGCATGACTGAAGTATACACTGCTGGCAACTGAAAGACAACGGGAATTTTTCCAGCCTTTTTATTGCTACTTTTCATCATCTCCAGAGCATCTAAAATTATGTGCGAGGTTGTAAAAATTATCAGCAGGCATTTACAAATTAATGACTTGACCTCCTGTTCTTCCAAGTAGCGGAGTTGACCACATGAAAGATTTTTCTGGACTTCAGCTGGAATAACTTAATTCTGTTACTAGATTCCAAACTTTTAAAAGAGCATTCAGATAGAAATGTATCAAATAAGAGTATAGATCTTTTTTATCACTTAGTCACTTTTTGTAATTTTCTGATTCTGCAGTACAAACCTGGCTAACACACCCAATAAAAGTTCTCCGTTCCGAATGGAAGGCAGCAGAGGATGTAGAAACACACAGACCATCGGAAACGTTACACTGACTTCAGAATTGTAATTTTTAAATGTAAAACTTGAAAAAAAAAAAAAACAACCCAATATTTGAGCCCTGAGTAACTTTTCTCCCCACTCCACAAAAGCAAAATGTGCATCAGTTCAGCAAGTTATCTTGTGTTTTGGAGCAACTTTATATGGATAATACTACCCTGACTTTAAAATCTTGAAAACCAAAAAGGAGACAAAAGGTATAATTCATTATCAGCTAAGGTTTTCTCTTAATTTTGGTGGAGAGAGGGGACAGGATATGGCTCAGCCACTGCATTTCCCTCTGTGTAGTCACACACACCCCTCAGTACAGAATTTGGGTACAATACCAAGAAGTGACCAAAACCTACAGCTTCTCCCAAGTGGGATTCAGTAAGTTTGTTCTTCTGGTTTGACTCTCCATCGCCTCAAACCTCCATCATTACAGCTCATCAAGTTGAAAACTTAATTTAATTAATTGAAATATACAATTGTACACTTAAAAAAAAAAAAAAAAAGCATGTAGCATAGCAAACTGTTCCCTTTCTCTGCAAAACACTCATATGATGTGACTTTAGACCCTCCAAGCTGCTAGCAGACCCAGACTGAGATAGAAATAAACCAATTAACCTTAACAGCATCTCCTGGTGACCCAAGATTTCATCTGGGGTGTCTAATATAAAAGTCAGAGGGGAAACGTCACCTGGAGTCTACTTCTCCTTACATCATTTCAACTAATGATTCAGGCTTTATAAAACATTTCTATTACAGATTTACATTAGCCCCAGGAAAAACACTCACATCAATTAAAAAAAACCCAAAGCCAACAGTTTCTGAACAGAGGTTGGTCACAAGCTGCCTCTGACTCCTTAAAATCTTTGGAAAAACATACATGATTGTCACTTCAATGGGGGACAGCTTAGGAAACTTCTGTTTTACTCAGCATTAAATACAAAGCAGCACTTGTCATGGGACAATAAAGCAGAAGTTAATAAAGCAGTGACTTCACAGTTCCCCATAGGCTAGAAGCAGCTCATCCTGGTATTGTTATTTATTGTTACATTTGGTCCCCTTCTCCCCCCAAACACAACTCAAGGCTTGTAGAGTAGGAATATACTCAAAATATACTCAGATAAGTCAGAATGTATTTTGTGAGGAAATCCAAAGGCTCCAAGCTGGGCCCTTGAACACACTATAGTAAGATTCCAACTTGAATGCTTGGAGCATGATCCTTCAATGGTTGAAGCTGATTAAAGTTCTTATTATACAGGAGAACACTGGAAATTACAGGAACACGCAAAACGAACACAGCCTCAGCGAGAAGTGCATGCATCACACTTTGCCAACTCTTGCTTATCACTGCTGCTAAATCTGTGGTTGGAGATATTTGAGATGTTAGTTTAGAACTTCAGACTAGATATCATCAGTTAAAAGGCGCACTTGACAAACAGGAAATGGGACATAACTAACTGAATTCTTGGGTCTGCCGCAAGTGGTATGATTCACTGAGAGAGCTGCTTTGAAATGTTCAACGCAGAGTAATTCATCAAGCAGTAACTTGTGAACAAGAACGCATTAACACCCAGGCACACACCACTGCAGCAAGGCTCCTTTGGGCGCTGATGGAGCCACAGATCCTTGCTTTACTTCTCTTCTAACCAACACAAGTGTAAGTGTCCATCTCCAGAAGCTCAACCACCCAGCAGGGTCTGAAATACCTATTTTGCTATGATTTTCCACAGCTTTTTCAACCCACCAGCTCTATGCAGTGGCTTAGGGATCTTCACAGAATCACAGAATGTTGGGGATTCGAAGGGACCTCAAAAGATCATCGAGTCCAATCCCCCTGCCAGAGCAGGAACCTAAATGAGATCACACAGGAAGGCGTCCAGGCGGGTCTTGAATGTCTCCAGAGAGGGAGACTCCACAACCTCCCTGGGCAGCCTGACCCAGGGCTCTGTCACCCTCACTGTAAAGAAGTCTCTTCTCAAGTTTAAGTGGAACCTCCTGTGTTCCAGCTCACACCCATTGCCCCTTGTCCTACCATTGGGCATCACTGAGAAGAGCCTGGCTCCATCCTCATGACATTCGCCCTTTACATATTTATAAACATTAATGAGGTCACCCCTCAGTCTCCTCTTCTCCAGGCTAAAGAGCCCCAGCTAACTCAGCCTTTCCTCATCAGGGAGATGCTCCACTCCCTTAATCATCTTGGTGGCTCTGTGCTGGACTCTCTCCAGCAGTTCCCTGTCCTTCCTGAACTGTGGGGCCCAGAACTGGACACAATATTCCAGATGTGGCCTCACCAGGGCAGAGTAGAGGGGGAGGAGATCCTCTCTTGACCTACTAACCACACCACTTCTAATGCACCCCAGGATGCCATTGGCCTTCCTGGCCACGAGGGCACAGTGCTGGCTCACGGTCATCCTGCTGTCCACCAGCACTCCCATTTTACCAGCTTGAAGCCAAAATCTTCATGCTCCTCACTGCCAGTATTTTGGTCCTTGTTCAGAAACATTAGCTCACGCTTGCAGTACGTGTTCCTCATTTATCTTTTTTTTTAAATATTTTTTTTTGTGCAATCTGCCTACATCAAACAAACATTGTCTTCGTCTTTTTCAAGTCTTAAGGAGATCAAGTTGAATCTCTAAGGCCTGATATCTCGAGAGAATCTGAGCATATTTTTGGAACTCTACGATTTTGCACGTGTGAGTAGTAATTAACATCTTTTTCACTAATAAAACCAAACTCTGCAATCATATTTCCTACCTTAAGGCCTACAACTGCATTAAAAAAAAAGTCCAGAAGCAGCACATGTAGCATAAAGCCTTGTTTTCAAAGTAAAGGTTTCCAAGGCCTCTTTATCCAGCTCTGGTCTGTTTAAATGGACTTTCTGAAACCGTAAGAATTGGTAAAACACAGCAGAAGAACTTGAGCCTCAGTAACAGGCTGACCAAGATTGTGTGTTGGGATGAAGGGAAGCACCTCACTAGGAACAGCATCGCTCAGCTCTGCTCAGCTCACACAAATGTAGAGTCACACCATGTATGTTTAATACACTAGCAAAATATTTATTTTATAATGATAAAACAGAAGTGAAGGATTTCTTTTTGGTGTGCACCAGTAATTGTAGTAAAAGAATAAGGGGATTAATGGACTCTTTATACATTTCAATGACAAAAAAATTCATAAAGGTTAGCATCAAATTCAACTGTTCTCCATTTACAAGCATAAAACTTATCATAATACCCCCCAAACACATATATAAAGAATTATAGTTTTAAAATCTATAAAAAGTAAAAAATATACAGTCAGAAGATCTAACTCTTATTCAAATCTTTAATATAAAATTGTAAACATTTATTTACACAAAGGAAATGTGTATAACAAAATTTTGAGCACCCTTTTCAATTGAATCGTGGTTTTTGGAAGGCAGTGGATGTTGCACAGTGACACTCTCACCTTTCCTACCCAACCAAAGCCGCAGTTTATAAATAAAGCCATGGGCGGCTGGCTGGGTGCAGTTCAGGGGAGATACGTTTTATTGCTCTGAAGCTGCAGCAAATGGAAAGCCCAAGTGCACATACAGACAGCTACACGTTAAAGGGCACGAGGGCAAAGCCCAGCCCTGCCCCTGCACCCATGTACATCCAAACCGTGTTTTCATGTCCATTGAACTGTTTCACTTTGTTACAGTGACATTGTATTTCCAACAGTCCGAGCGCCTCATGTGGACAGGGATCCAAACCAGAAGCCAGGGATGGTTTCTTCTATCAGGTTCAATGCTGTTTGGATCCTGTTCACATATGAAGACTGATGGGCATTATAAGCCAGTTTTGCCTAGAATCACACTTAATTTTATTTCAACAGTACCATGAAAAGGCCCTGTTATCAAATCTAGATACCTTCCTGAACAAACCCTCTGGTCAAGCAGAGCAATATCCACCTTAGCTTCCAGAAACAGTGGAGGAAAGAGTACATCTGCATTTTCCTGGATTGCCTTTTTTGGTAGTAATAATGCAAACAGCAGATGTCCTTTCCCTCCAATTAAGAAATCACAACTGGATGGATTGTATTTTGACTTATTCAGAACAAAATGTGCGTGTGAAATCTACTGGAAAACGCAGCAGATTTCAGCACAACCTAAACAGGGAAGAAAGAAAAGCTGAATCCCACTACCCTGTTATTTCTCTCAAGTGTTTGTAAGGGGGAGAAAAAAAAAAAAACTAGTGACATTCAAAGATGTCACTTGAAATTATGAGGTCCCAAGCACCCCCAACAGGAAGGGAAGGCACACTGGTGCAAAGTTAACCCTTAACA